TAATTTTACTCAATTCACCCATTTGACACCCCTAATTTCCTGTATTCTAGATTTCTTGATGACTTGTAGTATTTTTAGTTATGTATTTGCTATATCTCAAAGTTTTTGAAGTTGTCTACACCGGGATGTATCATGTACGTGTTGGGATATACTATTAACCATGTAATTGTGCTATAGTATTTTTTATTTAATCCCTTGTAAAGATTTTTTATGTTATTTATTTAATATAGTAAATTTTTGTTTAAATAGATCATTATGTATATATGTGTGTCCATTGCTTATATAGTAGACAATTTTGTGTATGGAGTATTTTAACTCATACACGGAAGATTAAAATTGTTGGTGCATATAAGTTATAAATTTATGTTCACGATCAAAGATGAAGTAGGACGAACATCTTGATGATCGTAGCACAAGATTAAATATAATTTGATCTTAATTATGAGAATGGTTAAATTCAACTTCTTGTGCTAGTACATTTTGTATGTATTGAACGGACCAATTAGAGACATTTGTTTATGTTCTGAATATTTATAAATAAATTCTCTAGTCCACTACATGTACTTATACTCTCAATCTTGATATAATTATTATGATCTATGTAATTTATTTTATTGTTTTAATCTATTAAAAGGTGAGACTTTTTGATGAGTCAATAAATTCCTAATAGATTAGATAATGACAAATTACATTAGTGAAATAATAATTAGTTGATAGAACCGTGTCTCGGACCCGAGTTGAAGACACCCCTTTATGATTACTTATAAGTTTTCACGTGAAAACACTGCAGGTGGATTTTAGATCCGTCACGTGAAATAAGTTAAGTAAATATAATAAAGGATTAATTTAGTCAATGAATTAAATTTTCAGATAATTTTGATTTAATTGATTGGTGTCGGTAATTCTAACACGGGGGGTTAAATAAGATGTTTGCGATATGGTTAATTCGTTCATTTGAGAATTATTATCGTAGTTGGAAGCCTCTATTAAATATATCTACGGTCCCTACTATGCCTGATTAATTGCTCAAGTTTGAAAAGAAGGACAAATTAATTTTATTGTTGATCTTCTTTAAAGGATGAATTATTTGAGAATTAAAGATTTAGTTAGTGACAAATACGTTTGGCCTTAAATGGATGAAAACGTTTTTGTTCTTATTACAAAAACGTTGGCCTTTAATGGATGAAAACGTTTTTATCTCAATTTATTCTCATGATCCTCTTGATTGCTAATTAAGCCTGAAATTTATTTGGACGTTTTTCCTATTCATTCTTGAGTTGGAAAACTAGATAAATAGGCTGGATGTGGCATGAAAGAAATTATCTTTGAAAAACAAGTAATACTTGCCCACACAAGTAACTTGGTAGTAACAGTCAATCAGGAAATAGGAGAAGATCGTAGCTCTGGATCCTTGGCATCTGGACGACTTTTGTAGAAGTTTCAACAGGTTAGTGTTCTTCTAAATTCGTTTATGTTATACTCCGTATTGTTTAGTCTATATGTATGATTTGTAATCTGAATATAGCTTCTGTTGTGCATATTCTAACAGTACGACCCTGTAGATGAAATGTATGGCCATGGCTCACTTCGTGAATCAAAAGTTTCTTATTAAACAAGTGTCCAAAGTTTTCTACGATCATAAATATCTGAAGTTAAAACACTCTTTATTTTAAAACAAAAAAAATAATATACTTGTAAAATTAAAGAAGAGTTTCATAACACTATATTGGAAATCGCAGAACATTAATTTTTGAGATTTCTGTAAGTAAAATACGCCTTATATAAGGTTTTTTTTTTGTGTGTATAATTTTTTTTCATTCAATGGTTAAAACCCGCATTAAAATCTCAACTAAATACATTAGGCAAGTCTGTTAGGAATGATAAGTATGTCATCAAAAGATGACATGCATGAATGCATTCACATGGGAAGCTTCAATGATCCACACGCTATTAAGATTTTCTTGATCAAGTGCAAAATAAAACCCAATAATAGGCGTAACAATCATATTATTTGAATACATTTTTTTTATTTGGAATAAATAATGTAGATATTTATGGAATCTCAAGATAGTGTACACAAATTAGAATTTGAAAACTTTGAATGTCATATTATAATATTTTTGCTCTTTATGTGGTAGAAACAAGTAGAGATTTAAGATTCAAATAAGTCGTCTTTTTTATTGTAATTTTTTCATATATTTTTTTAAATATAGACTGTTAATTAATTATTATGATTTATAGTACACTTTACATAGTTAAAAACTATGTAATATTAGTTTTAGAAACTTAAATGTTTCATACTTAAATTCATAACTAAAATTGAATTATTAGACTATATCAAAATTCGAATGATGACACATAAAATAAATTAAATTTAAAAAAACTTATAAGGCAGTTAAGTACTTGTCTATTTTAACAAATTAAGAACATTTTATTACTTATTAACTATACTAATATTAAATAACTATATAAAATAATAATAATAATAATAATTAAATTTAGAGTTCTAAAACATTATCAATAAAATCAATTTAAGAAGATATATCTCTAATCAAAATTTTCAATATTAATATATCAAATCAACAAAAAAACAAGTTGTTTGGAAATAGAACAACATGCATGTAGTATTGTTGATAACAAAGTGAACTTGATTTACTATTTATTGTCTTAAACATAATTTATCAGGTGAACTAGAAACTAAGTCTCGAGACCTAATGCGGACAACCTATATAAATATGAGAGATTGCAACAAAGACAAAAATAAATGGGAGAATTAAAGAAGTAAAAAAGGAAAGAAACTAATAGCTGAAATAAAATATGAAAGAAGAAGAAAAAAAGGGAAAGAAATAAAAAGCATAAATAAAGTTGAAAGAGGAGTCAAAGTTCTCTTATTGGATGAAATTTCTTTCATGGAAGGAAATTAGATATTTTCTTGTGGGAAGCCAAGTTCTATTTGAAGTAAACATCCTAATTTGTGATATACTATACCCATATATATATGACATAATTATCTTTAAAAGTCGCACCTATTGCATATTCATAAAATTTACCATCTTGAGTGTAATAGTCATTATCTATTGGAGCGAAGCCACAAGAGTTTGTCGTAATAACATTGGAACCTAATTCATGAATTTTGTTTGAGTTTGTATTGTTGAATACTTTCTCCATCCCTATTTACTTATCCAATTTTAATTTGACATGCCTATTATGAGAACAACGATTGATATAGTGAGTTTATCATTTTACCTCTATAAATTGATAGAGTTACAAACATATTTACTCACTACATTTCCCAAAGACAATAACTCAATATTAATAAATTGAGGATATAATAGGAAAAAGAAAATTATGCTTTCTTGATTTGTCAAAAATGACAAGTAAAAGGTGAAATCAAATTTGAAATTATTTGCAAGTAAATAGAAACAGAGGAGTATTAGTTTGGTAAGTTAAAGACTAGAGTTATTAGTCTTGCTAAAGACTTCGGGTGCACCAATAAACTTAAAAGAAAAATAAAGAAATAAGGCTCTAGCTGGATTCAAACTCTAGTCTTGTGGATGGTTTCACTAGCTTGTACCAACAACACAAGGTCACTCCTATACAACTATACTCATCATGATTGCATTGTTAATTATATCCTAATTGTTGTTATTTCTCAAGATAGATACACATATATACACATGATTTTCGAAGTTAACGGGTGTACGTGCACCAACTCATTGAATATATGGGTCTGCCTCTCATTGAAAGTTAGTGTTATTAGTCTTTAATTTGTTGAGTTGTTCGAAGGTTATTATTGAGTTGTAATAAATTTCTAGATTGAAAGGAGTAGTTGTGTGGATGAATTTTGTAACAAAAAACGAATTTAATTTCTAAAAGTAATTAGAACAGTTTGAGTGAACTTTTAGTCAAGGTACTTTAATGAATCCCTTAGATAAATAAGTTGTAATTTGAAATGCTGATCTTGTGAAGTTAGTAGAAATTGGTGGTTGAAATTCTATATTGTATAATTAATGCAATATAAAATATTAAAAATTATTATTATTTTAATATATGAAAAGTAACAAGTAAAATTACAAATTTGTTATTAAAATAGTGAACGAATAGAAATACTCCCTTATAGCTGGTCCATAATACTTGTCATTTCATAAAATCAGTGCATAAATTACCATATTCTTCCTTTTTTACCCTTGTGAGTTATTAGCCTTGAAAATATATATTTGACCAACTTAGAAAAATTAAGTAAATTGATTCATGTTTATTGGTTAAATTAATTAATCAAAATAAATTAATTCATATTCATTGATTGAAAACTTGATCCAACAAAAATAAAATAAGAGTAGAAGGGTAAAGTTACATAATTTCTTAATGCAAGTGCAAAGTAAAAATGTGACATATAAAATGGGACGGAGAAAGTAATAAAGAAAGTAATTTAGAGAGTATAGTTTATATAGTTGTTATTGTTGTGATAAATGAAAAAAATACATTTATGGGAACACGTTATTAATGGTGTTTGAATTATGTAACGCAACTTTACACGGAAAACTTGACTACTTACTCCTCAATCAATTCAACCAACCTAACAAACCTTCTTCATGTACAAACATTCCACATTTTCATTATCAAAGAATGTGATGCAATAGATGAGACTGTTTTTCTTATAAATAGATATTTTAGGTTCAAATTCTATATATGAATAAATATTTGATAAGAAGCGTTTTCCTCTGAATGAGACAAGCAAATTCAAAATAATCGAGCTTTAATGCGGACCCCAAATACGAAAAGAAAAAGAGACATTACACAGTTTCAGGCGGGAAAGGGTGTTTATGTCATTTGCTGATCCCGCGTCAACTTTGGCGTCTTCCATCACATTACCACTGTCTTACTAAAACCATCACACCTAAACTTCTCCCTTTTCCACCGAAACCATCAAGAACTTTCCTCCTCTCTTCTTCCTTCAACTTGCCCATTTCCCATCCATATATATAGATATATATCTTCGCCAATAATTTCTCTATATTTACAATTACAGATAGTCGATCTCTTTTGCATTATTTACCATGGATAACGATACCCCAAGCATGATTCATGATCCATTGATTGATTCCACAGGAGAAGGAGGCTATGCATTAAGTGGCAAAATTATGTTAAGTGCTATTGTTATCTTATTCGCTGTTGTTGTTTTCATGGTGGGTCTTCATCTATATGCTCGTTGGTACCTTCTATCTCAGCGCCGCCGTGAACTCCTTCGCCGCCGTAGGGTCCACCATCGACGGACCCATATTGTTTTCTACGTTGATAATCCTGGTTCCGGGTTGTCTGATGCTAACCGGGGTTTGGAACCGGTAGTTCTCAATTCCTTGCCGGTTTTTGTTTATTCCGACAAGACTCACCCGGAACCGCTGGAATGTGCTGTTTGTTTATCGGAATTCGAGGAGAATGAAAAGGGTCGGGTTTTACCCAAGTGTAATCACTCATTTCATTCGGAATGTATCGATATGTGGTTTCATTCTCATTCTACTTGCCCTCTTTGTCGATCTCCGGTGGAGGCAGTACTTATCGAACCGAATAATAACCGGGTTGAGGTAGCAGTAACAGTGAATGAACCGACTGAACCGGGTTCGAGTTCCGGTTTATGCAACTCTTGTGAGGAAAATAGTAGTCATTCTAATATGACGCCGTTAGGTTGCCGGCGAAAAGGATTGGATCTGACCGGAGTTAGAATAGAGGTGCCAAGAAGGAACGATTTTGAAGCCGATTTGGAAATGGGAGTGAGAGTGAGTTCACCGGCGATTCAATCGAGATCACCAGCGACTCGTTTAATGTCTTTGAGAAGAATACTGAGTATGAACAGAAAAACACCCACCGGAACTAGCCATTCCCCTAGTGGGAGTTGCGCCGCCGAGTTGGATTTAGAAAGCGGCGGTAGTAATGGTGGTGGAAAAATTCAAGTCGGCGGCGAACGTATCACAACTCCGTGAGTGACAAGCCCCGGCACACATCCCTAGGCAAATATTGAGTCACGCCGATTGCGTGAAAACAGGAGCAACAGTGACTTGACTGACAGAAAATTCAATATTCGATGTCCTATGACACGTGGCAATATGATGGTGACGTGGCGGTATTGGAATGGACGGATTCCCTTTTATTTGGCAGTCATGGTAGACTTTGAGGGGGGAATGTTTGACTTGTAAATTAATGGTAGGATTAGAAAAATGCAACTTGTAAAGCGTTACGTGCAAGAGTCAATTACAATGTAATCTATTTTCTAAATTCGTTGAATTATTTTTCCCTATTATAAAGTATTTGAAAAGCGTTGGTTCCTAATTTATGACTCATACTTGTGTAGTTGGTTAGTGGAATAGTTCAATCGTGTTAAAATATTACAATTCAATTTGCAATATCATTATTCGGAACTTGGTTACACTTTGTGTAAGCGTTAAAAAATTAATATATATTCTTTGATTACTCTATTGTGCAACTGTCATATTATCATTTATATTTTGAAAAATATAACAATATTATTTTCAAACGGTGAAAACTATCTTAATATAAATATTTCTAATGCAGCTGATTCTTAAATGTGCAACATATATTGTAGTGTACTTTTTAAACGTATTTAAGAAAGGGCAAACTACATAAATTCCACTAGTTTATGTCTTAATTATTAAGATTTTCGATAGTTTCAAATATTACTTCCTCTACCATGTTTCATGCTTAGGATACATGGGTTTGAATTCATGAGATACATGTACCTGCCGAATTTTAAAACCGAGATACATATCTTACCTGTTTAAATTAATTGATTGCAATTGATCTCCTTAATTAGAGGAGTAATTGAGGATTTTCATAATAGATGGACAATTAATTCTAGAAATTTAAATTAATCATATCTCTTAATATAAGGCGGAAATCAAGGAGTGTATATATGCTTAATTAATTTTATTTTATTATTCTTTGAAATAATAAACTCATTAATATTATTAATAAAAGACAAAATATGTATATATTGGTCATTAACTTGATTAATTTCATTTTATTACTCTTAAAATAATAAATTCATTAATTTGATGTATCTATTATCAATATATGATGTATTCAACAAATAAAACACTTAGATACATGAGTATCATATAAGTACATTCATATGTATCATAAAAGTATCTAGTATTAATTTCGTGTATTTATTATATGTGTCTAGTATTAACTTAATGTATCTGTTTATATGACCTAATATTAATTTCATGTATCTGTTTATATGATCTAATTTTAATTTCATGTATCTTTTATATGTATCTAGTATTAATTTGATGTATCAAGTATTAGTTTCATACATTATATTCAAAAACATGTATCTCGGATACATAGTAAGCATATACATATAATTATGTGTATATAAATATGGAATGTAATTGAAACACACAAATTTAGGAATAAATCACGAGTGTGTAGTATTTGTCTTATCATTAAAATATTTCAAAACTCTTCCCTTTATTTTACCATCTGAAATTATTTCTCATAGATACATATATTTTTAACTCAGATACATAGTCTTAACTAGATATATATGCACCTGATATGTATTCAACATTGTTGCACTCGATGTGTATCTAATGATGTATTTGTTCTGTTAATTAAAGCTTGGCGAAATTCTTCCAGCTTGATTAGGTCGTTCCTATATTTAGATCTATTCTCGGCTTGAATGTTGGCGGATTAAGAGTTAGTAACTGCAATGAGAAATTCATGAGTGAAAATAAACAAATAAAAGTTGTTTAATTTAGTATAATATTCTTAATGTGTTGTACCTTTAACAAGAATCATCCGATTTCGAGTATGGTCAGCCACAAAAGTGCTTGAGAAACAACAAAATTAAAAAATATAAAACTTAATTTGTAAAACTATTTAAAATTTAATTTCAGAGCATTATGAACTTTAACTTAGATACAAAACCAAGATAAATGAGAATAATAAAATAATAGAAACAAACCTATATGTATAATGTTAATTTGAACATGAAAACGCATGTATGAAGAGGATGAAGGAATGGCAGATGGAAGAAAGAGGGTTGGTGGACTTTTGAGGGGTGGGGGTGGGGGGATTTGAATTGTTAATAGACCATTAATTAAGGAGTTTGAATTTAAGATAATTATGAAATATCATATTTAAGGAATTTGTGTATCTGATTAAATATTTTAAAATATATGGTATAAATATTAAAAGTGATAGTATGTGTAATTATTTTAAACTAGAGGTAGATATAGTATATATGATAGTGATGTATGTGTAGTTTGATAGTTTTTCCTTTAACAAATATCTCATAACGTGAAATAAGGTAAAATGACTAAACCATACATCAACAAGTGAAACTTTGAAGTTTTATAAAAATAATTATTGAACAAAGACATAATTTGATAGGATTTTCTGTCACTTTAAGATGAGATTGCACCCATTTAATTTCTTTATATCTTTTTATGTAATATCATTTTTTTTTAATCTTTTACTCTACCTCAATTTATACTATCAGAATTTAAGAGCAAACGCTAAATTCTAAATCATTACAAAAGGAATCATTAAAAAAAATAAGAAAAAACATGTTAGTCGAACAAAATTCAAAATCAGCAAGAAAAACATTTTCAAAATGAAAAAAAAAGGAATATAATTGATAACAAATAAAAGAGTATTGATCAATTTTTCATTTTTCTTCTAACAAAATATTTATGAGTAAAAGTTATAAGAAATAGATTAAGAGATATAAGTTACAACCAATCTAAATGTATAATTGTATTAGACATAAAAATAAATATTAAATCATTATATATTGGTTTTATCTGTAAATGTAAATAAATGAACAAAGAAAAAAAAGGGGGAAAAGTAAAATAAATAAATAAATATTATTTAAGTGCATTAAATGTGTCACATTATTATTTCAAAGACTACAATTAAATATTATTTCAAAAACAAAAACGTGTTGTTACGTACACAAAAAAATAAAATAAACAATGACATTATAAAATAAAATTATTTCATCCTTTAATTTTCTCTTTAAGAACAATAAAAATGAAACTCATCATTATAATTTTTTTAAATTAAAATAAGATAATTATATTAATTATGCTTAATGATAAAAAGTAGAATCGATAAGTTTGTCAATATGTGTAGTAGCTAAGTTACTATTACAAGCCAAAGCAAAATAAAATCTCAACCAATAAGAATACTCCACTCGAACTCTATAATACATCACCCAATAAAAATATTCCACTTGGAGATTTCGTTGAAAATAAAACATTTCCTAACAAAAACGATTCAAATCCAAAACTTTTTAATTAAAAATGAAGGATTATTTACCACTCCACCATTATCCCATGTTACTTTTTGTTGTTAATCACAAGAATAATAAACATCAATACAAAACAAAATATGCAAAAATGTTGGTAACACTCATCAAAAAAGAAATGGGCAAAATAGAATCTAAACAGATGGGAAGAGGTAAGGATTCCTTATAATCAACTAAATATTCCTAAAGTTAATAATATATTATATTTAATTAAATAAGTGTCACTTGTATGCATGAAAATTTCTAAATTGTTAACACCGTGTCAATAATTGTATGTCAACTCATCAGAAACACGTTAACATTAAATAAATCGTAGGTGCAATTTTATACTAATCCAAACAAATATTGGTACGGTTGAGTTTGTTACTTTAGTATAGCGCTAAAAAATAAATATGAATATTGCAAATTACTTACTTCACTAATTTGCACTGAATTTTATTAGTCAGACTATTGCGAATTACTTGCTCCATTTGAAAAGAAAAAATAATCACTCATGTCTGCCTAAATACTCGTGGATTTCTTTGAACTACTCCCTCCGTCCTATTTTATATGTCATCTCTTTCTATAAATAGTTGGACCACAATATTTGTCATTTTATAAAATTTATGCATAAATTATCATATTTTGCCTATTATACCCTTAATAGAGTAGTTAATTAATCTTGAAAATGTGTTCATCATTTATTATAAAGTTGACTTAAGAAAACATTAAATAAGGGTAGAAGGGTAAAGTTACATCATTTCTTAATGTAAGTGCAAAGTAAAATGGTGACATATAAAATGGAACGGATGGAGTATTTCAATATTTGGTTCTTACACATTTTGATTTGTTTTAGCTAATCTTTTTGACATTAATATTGAGCATATTATATCCTTTTGTTCTATTGTACCGTCTCAATTCGCTAGTGATATTGTCCGCTATGAATCTTGATTCACACAACTTTCAAACACGTCACTAATGGGTAAAGCCTGATATACTATTACTCAACATCTTTCTTGAGTATTTCCTAATATAGGACTTCTTATTCCTATTTTATATCGAAGTGTCACATCTATTTTCTTTGTCAATCTTTTATTTGTTAGACGTTGGAAAATGATGTTATTTCTAGGAGAATTAAGTGGTTAATTTTGCTTGAATTCAATTACGTAAAGCTATGTCTATAGCGATAGCCCATATGTATGTTAATTGCATTTGCGCCTAAAGAGGGGAATTTTTTTAGATAAGTCCATTTAAAACCTTCCACTTTGTTTCTCTTAATAGGAGTAATTCAAAAAAGGTAAATTGGGGAGTTATTAATTACGTGTTTTTATATTGAATTTAAACAAAATGGTCAAAGTATGGAGTGGAGTGTGTAAATTAGCGTTTCAGTGTTGATCACGTTACTAACGTGATACCAAACACTGCACAATTTATTCACCAATTCAAACTAGAGGGACTTTAGCAAATAGCCACTATAATAAACTTAATTATGCTTCATAGCTATAGTTTGCATATTTACGGATTGTAGCTATAGTTTAAGCTGTCTCGTTTGTATAATTCGCGGATATATATGATTCGCAGGTTTGTATAATTTGCGGGTACATTTGTATAATTTAGTTATTATTGTATAAACTCGAACTAACAAATTTATACAATTACAAACATCATAGTTATACAAATTATATTATACAAATTTCAAATTATACAAAAAGTTATATAAATTATATTATGCAAATTCCGAATTATACAAACGTGCAAATTATACAAAATTAAAAAGTTAAGCCCCGTAATTATAGCTAAAGTAGGTCGCGGATTATAATTAAGACAAACTATAGCTATGTTAAGTAATTAACTAGTATATGTTTACTTATACACGTAATTTGAACTTTCGCATATAGCCACTCAAAATTGTCTAATTACGCTCCAAAGCTATAGTTTGTTAATTACGATTCGTAGCTACATGTTATAG